GTTCTGGATGTTGACTATCTGCTACATGAAGAAAAGCTTCCCCTGCTATCTATTAGTTTCATTTGATGACCCCGTTTCGTATGTTATGGGAACAAGTAAATAACTTTTCCTTACTCACTTTCTCCATACTTATCTTGATTTTCTAGACCTCTATCATATCTCCCCTTTAGTCTCCTCTTTTCTAAGCTAAAAAGTCCCTATCTTTTTTGTTAGAGACAGAGGAAAGCTTTGTGTGTTGGACACAGAGCATCTTTCCCTCCTTCCCACATAGGTGACATAGTAGCATTGGGAACTAAATTCAGGCAACCCCATATGTCACCAGCCTCCCTGGAGGTAGCGGTCTTGAAAAACAAGACAATGACAAAGATAAGGCTCACAGAGGAAAAAAATGTGGGAAGCTTCTGATTTCAAGATAACTTGTAGTTTGGTAATGTGTATTCTCCCCAGACTAAAACCTAAGATCAACTCTGAAAAGATGCTGGCCTCAGGAACAAGATTGAGGGGAGTGGGTTGTTATCACTCCTGCTGATACCCAAACTGACAACAGCTAGCCTACATTTACAGCAGTATGTAGAGTGCAAACATGACATGTGAAACGGGAATGGGTATAAACTGTAGTGTAAATAGTAAGACACAACTAAGGTGAGAGGAGTACAGCCACTCCCCAAGTGACGAACAAGTTACGGACCAACTAGACTAGGGTTGCCAGGTATCCGGTATTCACCCAGACAGGTAAGATGTCAGGTATTTTCTGAATTTTTCCCTGGCCAGGAGGCGAAAATGCTGGGCAACCCTACAAACACTCAGTGCCCGGCCTCCCTCCCCCGAAAGCTCCCCAGCCCCCCGAACCCAGTACCCATGCTTACCTGGTTCTCAAAGGCTGCCTGCACAAACTGGCCGCTGGCCAAAAGACCTAGGGGAAACAATGCTTCCCCTGGGTTTTAGTGCTCAACCATTCCCCTGTCCCTATCGTTGCACTCACTCTTAAAGGGGATATGCTGTTTTAATGCTGTTTTATTTTTATTTTAATTTTTTTTGGTGCTTAATAAGTCCTTGGAGTCCCTCCCCCCCCCCCAAAAAAATTTTTTCCGGGTTTTTTTTTTTTTTTTTTGGTGGGGGCGGGGTGCGTGTGTGGTATTTTTGTTTCAACCATTTGGCAACCCTATACTAGACCGTTTGTTGTTTTTTAAGTTTTTTCTGTTTCAGAATCGCTCCTTCTGAAGCTTATCTACTCACTGTCTTTTTTTTCTTCCTCTCCTTCAATTTTTTTTCCTTTCCCCCCTCCCTCCTCCTTTTATTTATCCTTGGATCTGGACTGCCAACACTCTGGTCATCTGAAGAAGTGGTTGTACCCATGAAAGCTCATGATACCATCTGCATGTTTTGTTAGTCTTTAAAGTGCTACCAGACTCTTTTTTTTTTTAAGTTTTTCTTGTTGCAGACTAACTCTGGTACTCCTCTGAAAATGTTGGTATTTTTAGCAGTCTCCTTCCCAGCAGAGCTTTTCTTCACCTTAGTGAAAGGCTCTGGCAGTGGGGAGCCATAAGTGTAGACTTACCATGATGCTCACAGACAAAGAAAGACACAGGGATATAATAAGCATGCTGGGGCTCTCAACCCAACGGTTACATTTAAGTAAGGAAATGGGCATATAGAACTTTTTGTTGTATTAACTCATTTTTCTTCAGTGCTGTGTTGCCTTTGGGAGTTGTTTTTGAATCATTGTAATCAGCAGCTGCCACCAGTGCCTGGAGAAGGAATGTTTACATGTGCCAGACCCCGTCAGACCTGTCAGATTAACATAATTGGTAAATGGGGGGAGGGCTACAGCCCACACATCTGAGATCAAATGTATAAGTGGTTAGAGCATATGGTTCAGTTCAAACACCAGGCTTCAGGGACTAAAAGGGGTAAAAAGTATGGATCACCCGGTAACTGTGGCACTAAGAAACCATAGCAAGGTGGACTTCTGGAAGTTTGATGTGAGAGAATACATCAAAGCATCTGGGCACTTGGGATGCCTGTGGTACTGGTTTGGGGATCTTGATGTCTAGATTGTGGAGTCCCTCTGCACAAAAAGGATGTCAGACACAAGATCTGCTTGTGGGCAAGACTCAGCACTAGTGAGACCCAGAGCTGGGAACAGTGATGAGTCATTTATCCATACTCAAAAGGATTTAGAAGCACATGCATTTCAGTAGTTGGATTCAGCCACAACGGACTGGAGACTGGTTAGGCAAAAGAATGGGGCCAGATTGTGATGGAGGTTCTTGCTCAGTTGTCTGCTATAAATTTTCTTGAACTTTTCTCTGAAGCGTTTGGTACTGGACCAGATGGACCCCTAGTTTGATCTAATATTACATAACAAGGATGGTCCAGTGGCTAGTTGGGACTTTGGGGGCCTACGCTAATGTATTGGCTGTGGCCCAGGCTTCCTATATGATCTTGGATGCGTCCTTCTGTCCCAATTCACCATCTGAAAATTGGAAATCTGAGTACTTCCCTACCTCACAGAGGTCTAGTGAGATAGATAAGAACAGCCATATTGGGTCAGACCAGCAGTCCATCCAGCCCAGTATCCTGTCTGCTGACAGTGGCCAATACCAGATGCTATACAGTTGTGAAGCACTTAAATACTACAAAGAGTGCCACATAAATACTTAAGATAGATAGCAATATCTATATTCTTATCATTTATTGGTTCATTTGGAATTTGTGTTACTATTCACATAATTGTGATTGACTTTAGAGGGATTACTTGTGTAATTTAATTTTTAGTTTTTTCTATGGTGCAGGTATTTTGCAGAGCACTCTGGATTGCAAGTGATTATAAGTGCCCTACTGAATATGCTCTAGAATCTAACCACAATGAAATGTACTAAGTACAGAATTTTAAATATACAGTAAAACTCCATTGGTCCGGCACTCCTGATGGTCCAGCACTATCAGGAACCTGGAAGTGCTCCGTGCAGCTGGACCATTGGAGCTGCTCTGCTCCCAGCTTCCCCGATTCAGCCGCTGCTGAAACTGACCAGTGACTGACTCCAGGAAGCCGGAGGCAGAGCTGCTCTGCCCCGGCTTCCTGGAATCAGCCCCAGATCAGTTTCAGCAGCAGCTGACTTGGGTAAACCTGGGACAGCAGCTGGGGTGCTGCCGAGGTGCGGTGCTGTGGGGACCAACCCCGCAGCGCCCCAGCTGCTCTGTCGCAGGCGTCCAGATTCAGCTGCTGTTGAAACTGACCGGCAGCTGGACCCCGGAAGACCGGACGGCGGG